TCGGTAGACTTCTGCTTACGACGATGACATTTTCGAGGAAGGCGGATCACAAAGTTGAGTTGTTGTCGCACCCGGTGAGGTTTCTGTATGTGAACTGTGTACTCGCAGAGTTGTTAATTGGGAAGTCTGTGTGTTTACTAATTGTGAATTGGTGATTGTTTTATAAGATCTTTATTAAAATTAGAGGGAAGATCACCAACTAATGCCGGCTCACTCTCAAGGCTAATGCTCAAGTGAATATTCATCTTTGGTTTAAACTGTTCCTTTTTTTTTCTTCTTGTATAAAGAAACGTGGAAGTACAAGGTCAGCTTTCAATTTACATGTTTCAAATCTTCACGAACATTTTAGTGTAAATTGAAACATGTAAATTCTGCAAAAATGGTCGGCTTTTAGTCTGACTGCCTAAAGCTTCGTTAAACTCTCCAAGTTTAGTTTTAGAAGTACGTGGTCGTTATCATCTCATGTGTCATATGGATATGGTGCTCCTATGATTACACACGGTTCAGACTCACCAATTTCTCAAAAATAACGACCTGATGTGAAGCAATAAGAAGGACTTGTTCTTATTGGTGCAGAATTAGATGGAATGTAAGGTTACCTATTGAAAAAAAAATAATAATAAACTAAAAATATATGGACTTGTTCTTATTGGTGCAGAAATTAGATGGACTTGTTCTTATTCGTGCAGAAATTAGATGGAATGTAAGCAATAACAAGCTTTTTCAAGATAACTAAAAATATTACTTTTCAAATTCAATTTAATAAACAAGAAACTTATCCCATTTGAAGCTTTCAATAGTCTAGACCTCCCATGGATGGAGTAGATTTTGCGTCTGGATGCAAGAAGGGTGTAGAGGAGCAGGTCACCCTGGAAAAGAATACAAGGAGGGAGATAGTTGTGTAGAGGAAACTAGGATTTGGTTGGTGGAAGGTTAATTATGCTGGTGCATAGAGAGAAGAGACGGCGATTGGTGGCACGGGTTGGGTGATTAAAAATAGCAGTGGTTGGTTCCAATTGGGAGGAGTTCGTGGTGGAGTGAGGGCAGCCTCCAGTTTAGCCATCGAATCTATGGTAGTCTATGGCGGTGAGGGAGGCCTTATGGGCCTACGTTGAGAAGGGAGCAAGATTAATATAAAATAATTAATAATTATTTTAATTATTAATTTATTAGCACTATAATCAGGCCTATAAATATATGTGCATCCACCATAAAATACCATATCAAAATCGTGTTGAAATTATTATTGAAATAATAGAATCAAAGTAAGATTAATATAAATTTCATTTAAGTTATTTACAAAGAGTCGGTTTGAGATTGTTGTGGGTTTAAAAAAGTTACTACCAGTCATTATTTCTTAAACGAACACTAACTATTTCTGAAAATGAAAACAAGTATTACACTATTTCTGAAACTGAAATAGTACTACACTATTTATGAAACTAAACACAAATACTACACTATTTCTGAAACTGACTATTTCTGAATTGAACACGGGTATAGTACACTCTTTCTGAAAACTGAACACGAATATTACACTATTTTTGAAAGGAAAACTAATGAAAATGGTTTGAAAACTTTGAGTTTTAACGATAAGGATAAAATAAAGGGTAAAGTGAATAATATCAAGATTGACTTTTTAGTATAAAAATGTGGTTTTTCGTTAAAGTGAACAGTATCGGGAGGTTTTCGTTAAAGTTCCCGTTTTTTAAACTGAACACAAGTATCACACTATTTATGAAACTGAACACAGGTACCACACTATTTATGAAACTGGCCGCGGGTACTACACTATTTCTGAAACTAAATAGGGGTATTAAAGTATTTATGAAACCGACTATTTATGAAACTGAACTCAAGTAATATATTATTACTGAAACTGAATATTGGTACTATCAATATAAAATGTATGCACATAAAAATCAAAGTTTATGATAACATGAACCTCCTTTCTTGGCAACTTCAACCAAAACTTCAAACACCAGAAACAAAAATTTCACAACCAAAATATTATAAGAGTCGAGAAAACTATCTTGTAATCAGTGACACCACCTGATAAGTACATAATGGGCAAATTGTACTATATAAACACATGATAATTTTATCTATCACACCATTGAGACCTTTAAAATAATATATTTGTCACCCTAATGCATGTAAACTCAAAACTTCGATTTCGATAACTCGAAAGGCCGCAAATAGAGAGAAAAAAAAAAAACAAAAAACAAAATGCAGAGCCGTGCCGCACACAAATAGCTCTTGGCAATTTTGAGATAACAGTTCACAACCAAAGGTAAAGCTGATAAGGTTTTCCGAATTCTCAATTAATTTTGGTGGCCATAAGAAAGATTGATGAACTTTAGATATTGATGGTGGACTGACATATATAAGAGAAATAATAATAATCACTAAAACAAGCTGTGCTCTTAAACATGACGAGGTCTTCTCGAAACGTGGTTCTAGTTCAACCATGGATCCGTCCACCCGTCCATATAGCAATATAGCATCCTGCGGGATCTGAAATACAACTCAATCATCGAAAGGTGAAAGCTTGTGGATATCGGGAAATTGAGTTTGATCTTGAAGTTGCCGGAGATGGTGGATGAAAGCGCTTTGGAAGACATGGATGGCTTTTGTGGTTGCAAAGACCGTGGGTTTATGAGGTACCGAGATGACGTCGTGGCAGACATGGAGGAGGAGGAGGAGGAGGAGTGCAGGCAGGAAAAGAGGAGACGATCTCCAGATGAGAAGAACACCCGTGATGGAAACGGAGAACATAAACGGCCAATACTGACAGTAGGGTAAAATTGGAGGCTCAATAAATTATTTATTTAGGCCGGTCTTTATTGGGCTGGTTTGGGCTGTTGATATTATATTTTGTTCTAATCATTAAATAAAGTTATTACAAGGTTTTTTTTTTTTTTTAATTAAAATTCGAAGTATTGAAATCTTTTTCATTAATTTTTCTATTTAAATATGTTGACATGTAATAATAAAATAATGATGTGGATAAAAATCAAAGAACCTTGATCAAAAATTAAAAAAGAATAAAATTTCAAATACAATCAATGAAACCAGAAAAATCAGGTATGGAACCTAATTTCTCCTTTAATGGGTGTAAATCACTTTAATGGGTGTAGCATCAACACAATTTCTCACATTGCACCCTAAGGTTTTGGATTTGTATTAATTTACACCTTTGATCTCTCTGAACTTCTAATCATTCTTTTAATTGATGAGTTTTTTTGTCAATGTCGCGCAAATGTAGCTACATGATAGCCTATATAAGAGTCACAAACCCACCGTGTCATCAATTTAACAAATTACCTGACAATCAATTAGACTAAAGGCACAAATTGATACAATTTCAATACCTTACAATACAACATTAGAAAATTAAAACTTCGTAACCCTTTTTGAAAATCACCTCAAATGTAGAGCGTGTAAAATGTAGTTTATCTTTTCGATATGAGGTTTAATTTTTCGGAGGTACATGACTTTTCTAATTTTGGCATAAAGGTTCCTAGTTCTTTCTGTTTTTTTTTTTTTTTTCCCTACCTGGAGAGGGTTATTAGGATACCTATTTGCAGGCCATTATCTTGTGGTAACCAATGACGATCAAGAGGTCTTTATCTTTCCCACAATATTATATATATATATATATATATATATAAAAGACATTTTGGATTCGGTCCTTAACTACCAATGTTCTTTGATTGAAACCTTTATGACTTTTAGTTTTTTATCAAAGTCCCTGACATTAATGTAAGAATGTATTTCTACGTAGGTTATTATATTTTTAACTTAAAAATGAAATTTGTAGTTATTTATATTAATGAGATTTAAAATAAACCCCATAATTTATGAGATTAAAAATATTAAAGATAAATTATACTCTCCAATATATTGTGTGTGTGTGTGTGTGTGTGTGTGTGTGTGTACACATATATACATGGGTAAGTTCATAAAAAAAAATAAAAAAAACCTAACCTAAAAATTATTGTACCAAAAAAATGGGTAATTTTTCAAAAACACCAAAAAAGGAAGAAGATATTCGTTTTAATAATATTGTTAAATTTCTTCCATTAAACTTAACATAGATACATTCTCAAATCAACGAAATAGAATGTACCCATAAAAGTTTAAAAATGAATTAGAGAAAAGATTGAATGAATTTTATATTAAAAAAAATGGGTACATTTTATATTAAAAAAAGGGTACATTTTTCATTGAACAAATTGGTATATTAAGAATGGGTACGTATCAATTTTTTTATAAAAATTTAATGGGTACAAACTTATTCTAATTTTATTTTTTATATTTGAAAATGTTTGAATTGAAAATTAATTAGAAGTTTAATAAGGGTGTGAGTATTAAAACTTTAAATCAATTACTAATTTTTATTATAAAAATTATGTAATTTATATGTAATTCATTAATATATTAATGATAGGGACTTTGATCAAAATCTAAAAACTAATAAGGTCTTAATCAATGAACATTAGAAACTAGGGACTGGATACTAATTTTACCTATATATAATGTAGTAGCAAATGACAATCAAGAGCAAAAAGTCACAGTACAAGATAAAAATTTTGCAAGAGCTTATAAGGAGTGTATATAGTAGCAAATGACAATCAAGATCAAAAAGTCATCGCTAATTTTGCAAGAGCTTATACGGAGTGTATGTAGTAGCACATGACAATCAAGATCAAAAAGTCATCACAGTAAATGATAAAATTTTTGCAAGATCTTATAATGTCAATTTAGATTTTGATTGAAACCTCAGTTTCCTTCATAGCATCATAGTAAGTTAGCCCATGCGTAGGGGTGGGCGTATGAGGATGCGAAGAATGTCACACATCGGAAAATTACGAAATATTGCATGAGCTTATAAGGACCTGAGTCTGTTATCAATTGATTTGTGAAGCCCCAACCAATTTATTTTGGAGTGAAGAGAAAGGAGGAGGTGGAAAGGGAAGGTCAGAGGAGGAGTTAAATATAGGTAATTGCAGGTTCACCAAAATTTGCATTAACGGCAAATAAAACTAATCAAGTTCTAAAGGACAAAACAAAGAAAATCTCATTGAGTTTTGTTCCACAAAAGCTCTAAATATTAAGCAAAGAAGGATTTTATCTTACTAATTGGCCAATTACACAAGAATTTGGAGGCCTTTTTTCTGAGGAGCGGGCACCACGTTCTTGTTTCCTGGGAAGGCGCTGCGAGAAATGTCTACCAGGGACTTGAAACTGTGTGGTTCGTGCATCGAAAGCTCCGACAGAACTTTCCTGTTCAGCTGAATGTTCTCCTTCATCAACCCATGCATGAAGTTTCCATAGTTAACCTGATGACAATAGTGAAACAAGATAATAGGGGGATCATCATTCACTACAATACATATATATACATATACATATACATATACATACATACATATATATACATATACATATACATACATATATACATATACATACATACATACATACATATATATATATATATATTTTACAGAGGAAAGCACATGATACCACTCAAATAACTTAAGAAGATCGAATCAGCAATATATTCCAGCTTCTACCGATCCAATAGCTCGACACCCAACAGCTACTTTCATGCTAGAATATCCGGAAAGATACATTTCATCCGGCACATCTTATTAGTCTAACAGCTGAAGCTCTCCCTAACTTCCTAGATTTTCGAAGCCAACCATAAAAATCTATTTGAATCTACTTTAATGCAGAGAAATCCAAGTTGACACTAAAAACTTGAAGTCAATTTCAAAGCACTAAGCAAGCCAGGATCTACATGCTAAATGATCATGTTTGTATCTAAGTACAACAATTCCGAGAATTCTAATGAGGTCCCTTTATTTCTCATGCGATTCTTTTTATTTTCCAGCTTTTTTTCATTAATCAAATTCATATACATTTCCTCTCCATTTTTTAAATTTCCATCTCTTAATAAATACAAGAACAATAAGCGAACAAATAATTGTCTTCATCTTTTATTCAACCAAGGCTAATAAGCAACCTCTAGACACAAAAAGTAAACAGAACATTACAAAACAAACTCTATTGGGTTTAGATGACCCTGCATAGATGAACCATACTTCTCTATCTTACAAGGACAATGTCCATCTAAGCATAAAAAAGGTAGTTTATTGTTTTCCCACATTTTAACGACTAAAACCAACAAACACTGGAAAGTACATTTCGTGGTTTTCCCCTAACAACTTGCAATCTGCATATGTCCAAAGGCAATCTAAAGTCTTTATGAACCAACACAGATTCGTTGTTCTGCAGTATATTGAACAGCTCCCACATCCACAATTTTCAATAAATCGGGTTTGACAACAGTACACGACCTCAACATAATCTTAGAGTGAAAGGAACCCAAAAGGGTCAGGACATACAGAAAGAGAAGTAAAAACTAAAAAGTGAAGAGAATTGACAAAGCTGGGAGGTAAGGTCACTTCAAATTATACCCAACCAAAATGACCTGACACAGTTCTTTTATATCCTATATTTTAAAAGCCCCGCAGCCTACCTACATGGTCTACTTATGGTGAGGCTCGTATTTGAAAACATGAGCCTTAGTTCACAGCCCAACATCACCCAGCCATTGACTCACCTCTATCTCATCAAAATGCAAGGACTCATTACTCTACTGCCACACCACCACCCATTACAAGTACTGACCGCCCAATGCTCAACACAAAAATCTATGACCAAATAAATATTCATTGTGCACCTGTTCTCACATGTATTCTCTCTCTGTCTCTCTCCCTTCATCAAATTTGCAAAAATAAATCAACTGTGAACAGATAAAACTATAAAGACGAAAGAAACAGCAGTTTGATGAAAGTAAAAGAACTGAGGTTAAAATCCATAACCGTATCAAAGACAATAGCAACTTGTACAGTTCTCTCAAAAATGCATCACATATGAAATAGGAGCACAATTTGAAACGTACTCCATGGATGCGGGTGCCAGCATTGATACGCTGGATCCACAGGGAGCGCATGTCTCGCTTCTTGGTGCGGCGATCCCTGTAGGAATACTGCAAGGCCTTCTCCACCCTCTCTCTGGCAATCCTTATGCAATTCTTGGCCCTTCCCCTGAAGCCCTTGGCTAGCTTGAAAATCTTACCCTTATTCATTGTTCACTCTCCCTCTATTATCCTACACATTAACACAGATACATCAGACCACAAAAAATAATCAGCCGCATAATTATTAATTATTTGAGAAACCCATTTCTTCCAATTGCAGAACAAAGAATGACAAGTATTCAGAAACGAAAAATTCCCAATTGCACAAGTTTATCAAGTAGATTGATGTTAATTACTTAAAAAATTCCAAATTTAAGAGCAAAAATTGCTTTTTCCAATGCAAATTATTACCAAAAGAAATATTTAGCATCTCTCGAACAAATTTAAAGAGTTTAAAAGGTGATTAAGATTCAAAAACCAGAATTATCAATGGAGAAAGATGGGTTTTTTCGATTCACCTGAGTTTATCTGAGGTGGGTTCCTTTTTGTATCAACAGCTCCGAGCTGTGCAAAACCTGCCATGAAACCAATCAAAAGGAACAAGCTTTTTACTTTGCAATTAACAATACCAGAAAATAATAAAAATAAAAAAAAAAAAACAAGGAAGAAGAAGATGGGCACTCACTGTGGCGGTGGATGGCGAGAGATGACAGACGAACTGGGAGTGGGTGGAGTAGCGGGCAGTGGAGGCGGAAGAGAAACAATATGGATGGGCAACTGTAATATTGAGCTAAGAGCGTGGGTACTTTTGTCAAACCACACTCTTAACCCGCTAAATGAAGCCCAAGTTAACTGGATCGTTCTCGCAGGAAATTTACTTGACAGAATCCTACCTATCGCAGGTTAAATAATATTTATAGACTATATGATGTAACAGTTGATTAGTCTCATGCAAGGCCTGGCAATTTTTGACACCATCCGATAACCCGACACAACACGACACGAAATTAACAGGTGTTTGGGTCGATACGATAACGAATCGGGTCGTTATCGGGTAACCCGATAAGCACCTGTTAAGATAACTGGTTGATTCGGGTATACACGTGGGTAACACGATACACGATAAGCATAATATTATTTTTATAATTTTATAACCCTAAAAAAAATACTGTAATAATTATATACATTAATTTTACAATTTTATACCCCTAAAAATTATATATATATTATATATATATTAAATTAACTATAAAGTTTAAATAATTTAACCCCAAAATATTAACTATCTATAATAATTATATATATATATATATTAAAATTTATAAAAACTATAATAATTATTAATTAATAATTTAATATGCATGATTCATTGCATGATTTGCATCCATTGATGTGATTTCTTTCCATTCAATTTCTTGCCTTTTTTGAAAAAAAAATGGAGGGAAAATGAAAATGTTAAGAAATGTTGAAAATGAAACAAAAAAGTGAGGGAATTAGGGAAAGATGTTGGAGGAAAAAGTGAAAATGATAAGAAAAAGTTGAAAAGGAAACAAAAAAGAGAGGGAAAAATGAAAATTAATAGAAGTGGTGAGAAATATATATATATATATATTTTTTTTTTAATTACTAACTTTTTATCACACACATGACATATCTCACTATTTTTATAATGACACACGTGATGTATGTACTATTCCGTGTACCAGTCAATTATAATTTATACGTACAAAATAAATAGATTTAAATCTACTTAATAAATATATATATACACACACACACAGAACTTGATTGATGGCATACAAATTCTCCAAAACTAATTTCAACGATCCCAACCGTCAAACTTGTTTGTATATGTTTTGAGATCACATCAACAAAAAATCGTAAAACATAAACATTCAGAGATCAAGTAACGGGACAAAGCTTTTCGACAGTTATAAACGAAAAATCACGACTTAACGGTTATTTTAACTTCGATTTTGATGATTTTTTATAGCTACACTCCTTGACCATATATGAATACAATGAATGAATTCAATTTTCAATTTAAAATATTTACACAAATGGATACCACAAAATCTTATGTTATACTTGATGAAAATATAAATAAACTCTAAGAAGTGTTAGTTAATCTATTGTTTTTATGGGATACGAATTCTCTTAAACTAATTTCAACGATCCAAACCGTCAAACTTGTTTGTATATGCTTAGAGATCATATCAGCAAAAAATCACAAAAAACAAACAATTAGAGATCAAGTAACGGGACAAAGCTTTTCAACGGTTATAAATGAAAAATCACGATTTAACTGTTATAATAACTTCGATTTTGATGATTTTTTACAGCTACACTCCTTAACCCTATATGAATATAATGAATGAATTAGATCTTCAATTTAAAATATTTACACAAGTGTATACCACAAAATCTTATGTTATACTTAATGAAAATATAAATAAACTCTTAAGTGTTAGTCAATCTATCATTTTGATGGGATACGAATTCTCCAAAACTAATTTCAACGATCCAAACCGTCAAACTTGTTTGTATATGCTTGGAGATCACATCAGCAAAAAATCACAAAAAACAAACATTCAGAGATCAAGTAACGGGACAAAACTTTTCAACGGTTATAAACGAAAAATCACGATTTAACGGTTATTTTAACTCCGATTTTAATGATTTTTTATAGCTATACTCCTTGACCCTATATGAATACAATGAATGAATTCGATCTTCAATTTAAAATATTTACACAAGTGGATACCACAAAATCTTATGTTATACTTAATGAAAGTATAAATAAACTCTAAGTGTTAGTCAATCTATCATTTTAATAGGATACGAATTCTCCAAAACTAATTTCAACGATCCAAACCGTCAAACTTGTTTGTATATGCTTGGAGATCACATCAGCAAAAAATCACAAAAAAAAACCATTCAAAGATCAAGTAACGGGACAAAGCTTTTCAACGGTTATAAACAAAAAATCAAGATTTAACGGTTATTTTAACTCTGATTTTGATGAATTTTTACAGCTACACTCCTTGACCCTATATGAATGCAAAGAATGAATTTGATCTTCAATTTAAAATATGGATGTGGATATCACAAAATCTTATGTTATAATTTATATACTTAATAAAAGTATGAATCAACTATAATATTAATTATTATATACATTAATTTATTAATAATTATATACATTAATTTAACAATTTTATATCCCTAAAAAGTAAAAACTATAATAATTATATAATATAATTATATATATTAAATTAAATTTAAAAATTGATGACCATTGGATCGGCTAAGATTAAATCTCAGCCGTCCATTTCATAATTATATATATATATATTTATTAAAATACTGCAGTGAAATCAGTGCCCATTCATCATACAGAATCTGTGGATGTTATCTTTGAGGTAACCTAAGTTTGTTTTTATTTACTTTATATATTTGTAGATTGTAGTATTAGTACTATAATAAGTGTTGAAATTATATTTGAAATTGACATGATGCATGATTTTTTATGATGTAGGATTTTGATAATAATTATGAAGGTTCAAGTTCGATTGAAAAAAATGAATTGCAAAAGTATTTGGAGGATAAAAGAATAGATAGAAAAGTAGACATAGATGTTCTTTCTTGGTGGCAAATGGAGCGTTTTCATTATCCGATACTTTCTCAATTAACACGAGATGTGTTAATGACTCCCATTTCAATTGTTGCATCAGAATTTGCATTTAGTATTGGGGGTAGAGTACTAGATCAGTATCGTAGTTCATTGTTACCAGAAACAGTTCAAGCTTTGTTGTGCACACGAGATTGGCTATTTGGAAAAGGAGGTAATATATTTTTATATGGTATAATATTATTATTTTATTTCTTTTCATAATTATTTTGGTAAACTTTTCATAATTTGAATGATTTTTAATGTTTGGTTTTTCTATACTTAGTTTATGCAGAAGAGAGTTCTAACGTGGAAAACCTTACTGAAAACATCTTCAACATAACTCTTGAAGGCAATAGATCAAGCCAAAGTTCCAATACAATTTCATGATGATCGATGTAAATTGAAGATTTTGTAAATGGAGGTGTAAACTTTTGAGAAAGACTTACAATCTTAAAAACAAAAACTCTTTATCCTTGCACATTTAATATTTGTAATAGATTAGTAGTGTATGTATTATTTTTTTATTAGGCTTTTATTTTTGAGTGTAGATATAGTACTTGAACGAGAAATGTTTTAATGTTTTGAAGTAATATTTATGTGGCAATGTGTGGTATGTGACTGTAATGAGACTGCACTACGACGGAATAAAAAGCGTTAATAATCCTTCCAATTAAGCGATACTGAGGGAGAGAGAACGAAACCGATCCATTGCTATAATAAAACAAAAATAATTGATGGACTATGACCCGATCCATGTGATGCAAACCGGGTAATCTCGGGTATGGTGAAACCGGTAAACACCCTACTTTGGCTAATGGAAAATGTGAAGATAAATCCTTGAGTTTTGAGACTGCTCTTCTCTGAGCTGCTGAAAAATATGCAGCATCTTCTTCCGGCCCGCCTCATAAAGTCTCTGTCTGCTACTTCTTTACCATGCACCACCTCCACCCTTCACGAACTTGCTTCTATTCACCCCAAAGGTCTGCCTCTCTCTCTCTCTCTCTCTCTCTCTCTCTCTACTTTTGGGTACTGGGTCTGTCACTAATGGCTTTCTCAATAGAAACAAAGCTACCAATTTCTTTTTTTTTTCAACCGAATAACAGCGATAATTCATTGATAAGAAAACAAGATTGCAAAACGATTACAAGACGGGTGTCAACTGAATACAATCTCGAGTGACCAAATCCTTAATCTGGAGAGCTACCAATTTGTTAAAGTTGAAGTGTGTGTTTGAAACTGTGTATTGTATCTAAGTAATGGATGATGGGCAATGAGAAGCAATATGCAAGAAGAAAGCTTTGTTTGTGTGTGTGTGTGTGTGTGCGTGTGTGTTTGTGAGTCAAGCTCAAAACCATGTGAATGTCTCTTTACTTGATAATGTGGTTGCTGAAGCAAATCCAATTTGACAGATTGTGAAAATGCCTGCCTAGCCTTCAAATTCTATTACTTTTGCTCAATCACCAGACCCGATTTCCAAATGCTGCTGAAATTCGTTTGTCGTAGAGATTCTTTTTCGGTTTGCTATTTAATGGAGATTGATACGAAAACTATATTTCCTTTTGCAGCTAGAACTAGAAGATTATCTGATGACCAATTGCAAGTAATTCCTTTAGACTGCTAAAATGCAGGAAATGGTATTCGATAAACGGGTCTTGATTCTTGGTGATTGTGCAATCCTTTTCTTTTGATGGTTTGCGGGGAGGGGGAGGAGGGGATTGCTTTGACATGTAATGAAAATTTAATGGTTGCATTCATGTTCATTTCTTTCTTTTCATTTTCCATTGCAATCTCATGCCTACCCCAAAAGTTGAAAGAGTAAAAGAGATAAAAGGGGGTAGATAAACTTCTTCACCTTTCAAGATGACAACTCTACCATGTATAGCCAATAGATGATGATGATGATAATTTGATGTGTGGAGAGCGATGATCAGGCTCCGGTTTCTTTTGAATCTTGAAGCTCTATTTTCGTTGTAGAACAATATCTTGTAGCCATTCTAGGGTCTAGGCTAGAGGCAGCCAAAGATGTTTGGTTTCCTTAGAAGTTTGTAACTCAATCAAACATTCATTTGTTTCTCTTAAGCTTTACTTTGGTGCTAGATATTCATGCTTTTCTTGGGGAGTGTTCTATCCATTGATTAATTTCTTAAAATTTCTTAAACATTTTTGTGATTGGGCTGGCCTTGGTAGGTCTTGCGAGGGTTGTACTGAAAAAGGGGAAGACCCAATTATTTAAGGATGGCAGCCCAATGGTCTACAGTGGAGCAGTTGATAGAATAATTGGTAGACCACCTCCTAGGACTGGAGACATTGTGCTGGTAGCTGATGGGGCAGAAAAACCAATAGGATGGGGCATGTACAATTCAGTCTCCATGTTCAGTGTTCGGCTGATGCAACTCGAAGAGGAAGCAACAAGGTAGTACTATTTCTACGAGTCCTTTCTAGTTCTGATTTATCATTACAGTCACAGGGATGTTCAAATTGATAACCTTTATGAAACAGGGATTTGTCATGTGCATTGAACATGGAGAAACTGCTTGAGACAAGAATTAATGAAGCTATAGAACTACGTAAGAGTTTGGGACTTCCATCAGTTACTACAAATGCATTCCGTCTTGTCAATAGTGAAGCAGACAGGTACATGACCTTGAGTGGTAAATTGAGATTTCTGTCGGTGTTTTGTAATTGAGTATGAATGAAGATTCTCCCCTTGTCTTTTGTTAGAAAGGCCAAATCTATATATGCATGTGTAAAGAACTAAAGACGCACTTAATTATTCAACGTACCAGTGATAATTCAGCTCCTCCGGGGGTTGAGAATGTGTGGATGTTATGTGGTATGCATGTTAGGTTTGAAAGAAATTAGTTATCTTTTGGTAAGAACCCTTTAAATTGTAATTAAATTAGGGTAAATGAAACATGTCGGATTTGTATCATTTAATCTGAAATGTTTAGTGTAACTAGTGGCAACACTATTTTGTGGATCCATTGCTATTTTCACCGGTTGTCTACATTACATGGAATTGTCTGTGGACATACTAGATCACTAATTTCAGGTCAATGTCACTTTTTTACCACAGATTGTCAGGATTAATAGTTGATATATTTGGAGATGTAGCAGTAGTAGCATCGTCTGCTGCTTGGGTTGAGAAGTACAAAGCAGAAGTAGAGGCCTGTATTAGGAGAATTGACGAAGTTAATTATGTAAACTGGAGACCATCTTTGGAAGTTTTAAAAGAAGAAGGATTGGATGTGTCAAATTACAAGGAAAGGGATCCAACTACCTGTCCTCAAAGAACAAAGGTAGGATATCCCACAAAATGTTACAGCATATTTTATACTTTTTGTTTCATGCTATATGAGGTCTGTTGCATGTGAATATTTAATGCCATGTTGCAATTATTTAGGTTATGGAAAACGGGATCTTTTATTCCATTTCACTTGAGGGACAGAAGACAGGGTTTTATGCGGATCAGCGTGAAAACCGCCAATTCATATCAACAATTTCAGACGGCCAGAAAGTTCTTGATATGTTCTGCTACAGTGGTGGTTTTGCTCTAAATGCTGCACGAGGGGGTGCTGCAAATGTCATGGGTATGAATAATTGGAATTTAGAACCTGTCTTTCTATAAGAACTTCATTGAAATTGGCTAGGTTCGATCCTTACTGTACGGTGGAGGCTAGATTATATCCCACTGTTGTTGTTTGGTCATCCTGCTTATAGAATATGCATATGACGCCGTGGAGTAATCATTATAATACCAGTGACATAGTCATTTTGTGAGACTTTTGTTCAAAAGGACGTCTAGAATTAGATGATATATATTCATCTTCGCGGGACATCTTAAGATTGCATGTTCAAAGCTAGATGAGTTTCTAATCATTCCTGTATTCCGTCAGGTGTCGATTCATCATTGCCTGCGATTGAGCTAGCCAAAGAAAATGTTGTTCTTAACAACATTAATCCACAGAGAATAACATTTTTGAAAGAAGATGCAAGTGAGTTTATGAAGGGTGCTCTTTCTAGGAACGAATCATGGGATATTGTCATTTTAGATCCTCCTAAACTAGCACCCCGAAAGAAGGTACTATTCAGTTAAATGCATTTGTTACTTTCTGTAGCATGTATTCGAGTTGTTTCAGTACAAATATGAGTGCATTGCTTGTTCCCCCGTATATGACTTCTTACTTCAACTACCTGACCATAGGCGATTCGTTTGTGAATCTTGGCTACCGCTTCTTATTGGATCATTTTGAATCCAGGTTTTACAAAATGCATCAGGCATGTATAGAAATTTAAATTCATTGGCAATGCAACTGACAAAGAGAGGTGGTCTTCTCATGACTTGTTCATGTTCGGGGGCTATGACGCAAAGTGGGATGTTCTTGCGTATTCTTCAGGTAATTTCAATTTTCTGTTGCACGGTGCCTTCACTAAATGTTTGACACCCATAAATACAGTAGAGGTTATTAATCTCATGAAATTCTATGAACACCGATTTTCGCTGGCGTAGGAGCCTCATATGTATAAAGAAGATTACTCGTTCAGTATCTGAAACCAAAGAAAGCATATACAATCCAGTCTTGAAGTGAGGTTCCGAAAATTGTTTTTTCAGCCAAAACGAATTAGATTTTGTGTTCAAGCTCCCGTTTTCTCCTACACTCCTCTTGTTTCTGCAAGTGCACGGGAAGAAAAGGATAGAACTAAAATCGCTTCTCATTTTTAAAATGGCATATAATTTGGCTGGAATCATCTGCTGTTACAAAAACGAGTGACTTGCTAATATTTGATTTGATGAACCTCTCTTCATCCTTCTCAATTTGTTTTGATTTCTTTGTATAGGGTGCAGCATCAGCGGCAGGGAGAAAAATAACCGTTCTACGGGACGCCGGAGCGGCATGCGATCATCCCATTGACCCATCCTACCCAGAAGGCAAATACCTTTCTAACGTCCTTCTGAGGGTCCTTTGAAGATGACAATCACTTATATTAGAACACAAGCAAAAACCCAATCATATTTTTGAACAACGCATATACAAAGCGATCGATCAATGGACATGACTTTAGATGTATTCAATATTCGTGGAATTATACATGGACGCGTTCATTCAGTCACTCTCGAAAGAGATTGCGAAAAAAAATTAACGAAAGAAAACTCCAAATGACACAAAATTATTTTCAAAGTTATATGTACTGCTCACACTGAAAACACTAATTTACATATAATTAAAATCGGTCATTCGGAAACGCTTAAGCCAGTCCGTCGACATCGGCGGTTCTACTCGCCTTAGTGACCTCCCGGATTTCTGTTCCACGACAAATACGATGGGTCTCCAAGTTGCCTGAAAGAAGAGAAAGGATCATTGGTGATCATATCACAACATTAAACTGTTTACTATCAAAAAACAAATACGTGGAAACATTTAGAAATAGCGGCCACATCACATACAACCCTGGACAAAATTATCTAGGCATTGACAAAGTTGATCACTGCGAAACAGTCTGTTCGATTAACATGGATGGTACGGTTAACACGTCGTCATCTGTCAACGTATAATATGGGGAAAGTTCATATTCGCCAAAGCTGTAGATTTAATGTGGATGAGTGCGTGTGTGTCTACATATTACGAAATTGGAGGCTGTGCTGGAAAATCAAGGCCAGTAACATCAAAGTTAAGAAAAGAAAAGGCAAGACGTACTAATAGTACACCAGCCATAAAGCAGAGCAAAATTGGACTGAACTTAAGAATCACAAGGGAAAGTTGGTCCATAGCATGCAAACAAACATCTTTAAGCTGCCAACAAAGAGTGTTACTTGAGACAACAAGCGGGTAAGGAGAAAATATGCCACATCTTTCTATTTTGAAAAATCGCATCTACCCTAATAACTAGCTCGACATGAAGTAATCTACAGGGTTTCTTTAGCTGGTTCTTATGCATCTTGAAAGACCGTTCAGACAATAATACAAGAGATAATTCCACAAAGAGGAGAGTTCATGTAAGGCTACTGTTGATAGCATTTAATATTCCTTGCATGATAAACATAGGCGGGGCAATTGGTTTAGGAGTTTACCTTGGCTTAACAAGATACACAACCGTGAAAGCCATGGCTAGAAAGAAGCACAACCCTCCAACAGTGAGATAAGCAATGCCAAGGAAGTCATTCCTGCCACCAATCCAACTGGTGGTCGAGAGCACGAGCTTCTTCTTTCCATTAAAACTGTATGTGTTGTAATTGTTCTCCAGTGTCACTTCTATCGTATCATTTTCTTCCAGATCCACCTCTATCTTTCCATACAGCTTTCTAAATGTCGGTAGTGCAGCAGTTCTCATCCAAACAATAAGGTCCTCTTGCTCACTTAACTGTTAAACAAAAAATATTGACCTGGTTAACCACTTGCCTCCTTGAGAAAACAGTTTGCTAACCCAACAGTTAAAATAAAACTTTTCAGCACAAAAATAACCTTTAGGACAATACAAGACACTTTTCCCTATTTCTGACAGTAAACAAAAAACATTTTATAGGGTTTCAGTGTCATCAAAGATGCCTAAGAGCAACCATAACACTTACAAAACTAGAGATGACCAGGGGCAAAATGCTTACTGGTTTAGAGATATTCAGAGACGCGCCACCTTTAAGAGTTCCATTCTGAAAGTTCTTTGGAAAGACATTTTTGCCAAACTTGTGCTCCCTATCACTCTTCCACGAGATATCCTTCTTGTTCACCGTCAACGGCTGGCTATTGCGGGAAAAACTATAGGTGTCGTTGAACAAACTCCAAGCAATAAGACCACAAGGTACTATAGGTAGACCATTTGCTTTATCTTCAGGCTTACAAGCATCTATTTCACTCTGAGACTTTGGATCTTTCAACTGTTGATCACTTCGACTCTTAACATATCTGACAAGTAGAAAACCGTAGTCAGGCTGGATAATATTATTTATATATAATGGAAAAAGGAGATCTCAGACTTGATAATAAATATTTCACACAAAACCAATTGTAGCGACAATCTACCAGGAAGATCCAAGCTAGTCGCACAGTGAAACTATTCAAGAACAAAAATTGCTGGCGGTAGTAGAAGTGAGTAGTGTACTGTGTACATGAAAAAACTCTTCAAAGAACTGGTGTGCATGCCTTAAACCAAATTATGCTGCAACATCACATGGATTTACATAAAGTGTATACTACTAAGATTCTCGTGATTGACTAAGCTTTTTATTTTTGTTATTTTGTACAAGATAATCAGGACGCCAGACATGATCTCAGAGGGGTGCTGTTCTTTGGACCATATTTCATTATCTGCTGTAAGAGCTTCCATGGAACCTGGTCTACCTACTGCTCTGTCCATATATGGCCAGAAAATATCAAGGCTCCAACATAGCTATGATAAAATTTTGGCCTTGCCATAACTTGACCCACCCCTTTCATTAACTTTCCACATAAAGGTTTTTGCATCAACCATATTAAACATAAATGGAGGATTATGGCCAAGGCAGGAGACATACCTGCGATGATTCTGGTAAAAATTGTCAAGCTGGTAATATACATATATAGGCTGCTTCATATGCTTTGATACCTTCACGCAGGAAAAACTATCCATCAGTGGCCATGGGGATTAAGTTCTCAGTCATAATTAAAAATATTATCTAAATGCACATGATGCTGCATAGTTCCTAGAGATACCTTGGTAGCTCGACAAGGATTGCAACCACCACCAAAAATAAGTATTAATCACAAATGTGGCAACTAAAATCTCTTGATGATTAAAAAACAAGGAGAACCTTACCTTTAGAGTTCTGTTACATGTTTTAACTCCAGGCCCTTGTATGAACCTGACCTTATCATCTCTAGCGGGTGTTGGTATACAAGCAGTCTCATACCGATCAATAATTTCAACAACCTGACAGAAACATTTTCCTGATCAATCTACATGTAGGACTAGAAAAGAACAAACAAATTATGCAGAGAATTGGGTTTAACTCAGCCATACATCTCGAGAAGCAAAGAGGGAAACAACTCCGATGGGAATGAAGACAATGCTTACGAGCATGAATGCTGAGATCACCTGCATGAACAAGCGTGCACCGCACAAATGCACAAAGAGATAAGATGAGAGTTCTGCTAAAAATCTAGCATGCAAAGGTGGATGACTAAGGAGATATCTAATACAAACACTATAAAACTTACCCATCGTGGCGTGAGAATTGGCTTGCATGCTGGAAGTTCCTGCTGAGTAAATCTTGAATCTGAAAAGATCAAGTTTATAACATCTTTAGTTTACGATTGATATAAAAGTTACTGAGAATCATACAAAATGCAACGTGAAGACATAAAGCCAGCTTTGTCCATGCCCACCTAGTCCTACAATTTATCAAGTGAAGGAAGGGAAAAACAACGGAAAAGCTTCCTCTACATATCAGCATCTTAGATTACGTAATCACAAACTTCACACTTGGCTGAAATCACTCACTATGTATGTGGCACATCCATCTATTTTGCAAAATATTATCATATCAGCCACATTGTACCTCTCCGACAGTAAACATTAGATACCCTTTTATAACCATAGACAAGTCTTTCACATAGGTACCCAAGAACAGAGTTACAGAAAGAATTCCAACTTTAGTTTCCGTGTGCCTTATATAAATCGATTATAGTACGAGTAATATGAGTGGTATGGACCCCTAACTATCCATCATCAAAGCTAACCCACCAGATGCCATATGCATAGAAGTTTCCTAATGCTCCCAAATCTTATAATATTACTGTCAAGCCACGAAAGTTATTCGCGTCGATCTTCATAAACCCAGTCTTCTTAGTCCTGATTTCGAATTGATGAAAGCAGCCTAGGTTGAAAATTCACTCTAAGAATTTAATAAATTCTCTCCGATATATAATTGACTTCTAAATTTCTAAACCTAACTCAGAAAATATTTATCGGCCAGGATCATGTACGAGAAGCACATCATGTAATTTAAATCATTTAAATTTTGAAAAAATAAAATTCAGATAATTGAAAATCTACCATCTGGGTATTTCTGAAATGAACTAAAAACCTAAAATTAATACAAAAGCTTAGGACTTGGGAAGGAAATCACATTTGGGTCGCTTGGAATGCCTCCTGGTAGACGTTGCATCCGCAGATCCGGCGCCTCCTGAGCTAGACGGCGCCGTATTGGAACTCATCGGAGACGAACCCTGTCTTCCGCAGCAGAGATTTTAAATTCTTTTTCTTTTCCGAAAATTAAGAAAAACCCACTCGACCTATGGATTCGAATTGTATGCGATGATCAAAGAGACGAACGGATTTTTTTTTTTTTTCTTTGGTGTGGGTGGGGGGAGGGGGTTTAATTGGAAATGGGGGTGGTGGTGGTGGGTTTTGAGGAATTGAGGAATTGGGGATTTTGTATTGACTTTTTTAGAGAGAGGGATGTGGAAGAAAGCGTCTCCTTTCTTTCCCTCTCTGCAAGGTGGCCGGCGATCCTCTCTCTCTTCTCTCTCTCCGTGTAGAAGAAAGAAGAATAAGAAATTTCTGAGAGAGAAACAAAAACCATTCAAGTATCGAACCAGTCCAATGCGATTATACGGTTAGACTCGGTGTCCAATTTTTTCAATTTGATTTTTCTTTTTGCTCTATTTTTTTTTATTTACTATAATTTGTTCATTGAAGAAAATTGAAATAAAATATGGTTGAAATGTCTTTTTCAGTCAATCGGTAACGTTAGTAAGTTAAATAGTTAGTTATTAGTTGGATGACAAAAAAAATCCATCGGTTTGGTTTCCCGTGGTTGCTTGTCCGTAATGGGGCAATTTGGGGATTTTATTAAAGACCCGAGCCACATATTGAGCGATGATGGTATTACCATCTCCTAACCCGACCCCAACCCGATTGGATGTTTCTATGCTATTACATGGAAGGATAAAAATTCAATGAATTAGAGGTTTTTTTTTTTTGGATAAATAATAGCATTAGTGAGTTAAATTACTAGTTGTTAAAGGAATAAGGATCAATGGGAATTGAACCCACACCAAGCACACGCAACTATGCTAAAGCAACACAATTGAGTGAAACTTTTTTTAAAGGTAATTATTTTTCGTAGCTTTTTTTATTTACATATAGTAGTTGACTAATTAAATAAAATTTTCATGATATGTGGGTTTTTTTTTAATTTTTTTTTTAAAATGGGAACAATTGGTAGCAAGTTACGGTTATCCATCTATTCTGGGGGCCAAGAAGACTTACTGAGGTATTTCACTCTCCCCTAGCCACAATTCTGGCTTCCACACCAACAGCAGTTTTCGAACCCAAGACCTATAGGTTTTAATTTGAAGGAAGCCTCGCAATTCGTCATTTACCACTGAATCACCAACTCGTGGTTTCATAATATATGGGTTGACGAGTGTGAGTTTAGAGGTTGTAAGATCCCAAATCGCGCCAGGGGAGTGATCCTTAGATGTATTTCCCCATCCCTACCTAGCACGAGGTCTTTTGGGAGCTCACTGGCTTCAGGTTCCGTAGGAACTCTGAAGTTAAGCGAGAAGGGGGCTAGAGCAATCCCATGATGAGTGACCCACTGGGAAGTTACTTGTGAGTTCCCAAAAATAAAACCGTGAGGGAATGGTAAGCCCAAAGCGGACAATATCGTGCTACGGTGGTGGAACGGGCCCGGAAGTGATCTGTCCCGGGTCGGGATGTGACAATTTGGTATCAGAGTCTAACCATCGCCGTGGTGTACCAACGAGGACGTCGGGCCCCTAAGGGGGGTGGATTGTAAGATCCCACATCGCCTAGGGGAATGATCCTTATATGTATTTCCCCATCCCTACCTAGCACGAGGCTTTTTGGGAGCTCACTGGCTTCGGGTTCCGTAGGAACTCCGAAGTTAAGCGAGAAGGGGGCTAGAGCAATCCCATGATGGGTGACCCATTGGGAAGTTGCTCGTGAGTTCCCAAAAACAAAACTGTGAGGGAATGGTAAGCCCAAAGCGGACAATATCGTGCTACGGTGGTGGAGCGGGGCTGGGAAGTGATCCACCCCGGGACGGGATGTGACAGAGGTACTATCCTTTGCAAAGACATGGGTGGAGAATCCACGATTAAAATACATAGTTATGGGGGCATAACATAATCGGAGTCAAGGGAATGAGGGCACTTCCCCGTCCCTACTCAACCACGTTTGCCATTCTTAATTAGTAGGGAAAGAAGAATCGACGAGGATAGAACCTGCATTAGGATGCACAAACATGATTATTTTTTGTTATTATGTTAAAACGTCATATACAACTGAAATATTTATGTACGTTGTTGCAAATAATAAGATAGTTACATTATTAGTGTACAGTTAAGTATCGAATTTTTTACAAACATATATGGTAACAGGTAAAAAGATAAAAATGGTCCCTACAAAGAAAATGGAGAACAAGTAATGCAGATGATTGGAGTTTGGGCATTTTTATCTTGTTTTATGTCTTTTTTTTAATTCTTGCGAGGTTTTTTTTTTTTGGTAAAGTAATTCTTGTGAGGTTAAAGAAAGTCGTATGTGGAAGGAGTTTTGGGTGACAATTTTCATGAAAAAAATATTTAACAAATAAGTAGGATCTTAACCTATATGCTATGGACCATATTATATAATATCAATAGTTTGGTGAGAATATATAGTCTTTTTTTGCTCAATTTATTATTTATGTTTTTGTAAACTGGTGATATAATAAAGGGAAGATCGGAGTCAGACAATTTTGTTTTATATTTTATAGTACAATTATTGTCTCAACGTTGAAATGATGATTGAATTATATATTCACATGATATATTCACATGAATTATATATACGACTATCAAATGATGATTGTATTAAATATATGTATGTATTGTAGTCAATCCCTTTATTATAACCTTAATCTTTAAATAGAAATTTTCTAGGCAATAAAAATTTATTAAGAAACCACAAAAACGTACATAAGATATGCATACCAAATGTAACCAAAAGGTTGCCAAAAGAACATCACACAAATTCACAATTATAAATTTGTCGTGAATACAATACAATTCCTCAACTAACAAACACGAAAGATAAACAACCTTTCAAGTTACAGAACACCGTAACCACATCAAGAGAAAGAGACCACACGACCATTTGATGATCTTGCAGTCGCCAGCAAAGAAGCACTGCTATGAAAACCTCCAACAAATGTCGAGCATCCTTGTCATATCCATTTGTCATGTGGACAAACCAAAACAAAAAACCAACCATAATTCTAAACAAAAGTCGTTGTTCAAGATCTGAGTGTGACCCATGAGTCCTAGACGCCACAGAGGCTATCCTCAATAAAGCAAGAAAACAACCACAATTACGAAAACTCTTCTCGCCACAACGAGAGAGCGATCATAACTAGAAAAGCAACACGAAATGGAAAAGAAAAAGGAGACCAAGGAGAGATTGCTGCCAATCCCAAAATGTTGTTTTCTTCATATAGTGCCTAGAGTTATATTATTTAAGTCTTTTTTTGTTCTTATTGGACAATTTCTTTTTCTTATACTACAATCTTTCATTTACTATTCAAAATACTATAATCTTTTAAATCTACAAAAATACCAGTCTTCATGTTCCAATCCAGTTTTCGTGATCAAGTTCAGTTCTTCATGGTGGATCATTGCTGCATGCATGGATTGGTGCACCTGATGATCAACATGCCAGCATGAAACTAATGAAGGAACTCGTAAACCTAGCCCCAACACATAAGCACTGGATGAGTCTCTAAGCCTGCCAGAAATTTCGGTAACGCATGAATACTTAAATTGGCAACCACTTAATATTTGACAAGGCTGGTCAAACATGACTGCTCATCATTATAAAAAAAATTTACGATATTTCTTATAATATATTAGCTCTAAGTATTTCGAATATACTAAAAAATCTCTTGTGTTATAATATGTTATGTAAAGTTTCTTTAACCCTTTGCGCAATTTTATAATGTTCTTCACCGACGATATGAGGTTGGATCATAATTAATGTTGAATTTGAATGATCTACTGATGGATAGATACTCTTGGCAGCTAATCCCCTTGATAGTACGGTAGTAGCATCTAAATGTGCAAATGTCGTGGCTGGAGCAGGATTTGTCAAATCCTCCGCTCTGTGTGTACATAAATTGTTTGAATAGAAGTTATAGCATTAGTATGAGTTTGTTGACCGCATAAGGGCGATCCATCTTTATGACGAATTCCACGATAACGAGAAATAGAAATTAATCGTCCGATGCCTGCCCGTTCTCCCCTCTTCAATTCCCAATGAAGAACATGTTCTTGACCTATCATTTGTTCAATTTGGTCAATCTGATACTTAGTTAACTCTTTTATTTTTATGTAATATATTATGTAGCGCTTAGCTTTTCAAATATACTAAAAAACTCGTGTTATAATATGTTATATACCGCCTAAGTTTCAAGTATATCAAAAATTCTCATATTATAAATAATGTGCACCGCATTGTGTTCTAATTATACTAATAAACTCTCTTTCAAAACTAACGCATAGCTCCAAAATTTCAAATCTTTAACGCGATGTATACTCTCAACAGCATTATACGAAATGTTTTTTACCAAAAAAAAAAATCATTATTTGAAATGTCCTCATTAAAGTACAATTCACACTTCATCAAACACCACATCAACCGTTAAACTTGGAAGGATCCTAAAATTTATTGGTATCCCAAAGTATCCTCGGTTTTACAAGAAAAAAAAATAGATGGTTAGGTCATCAATGTCCGTTTTCCTTGCTCAAATCTCTTGAGTTTTATTTTATATTATCTTCATTGATATCTATCTAATTGAAAATGACTTATATAACAAAGCAATACGGTAACGGTGACTTTCCATGTAATATAATAACGATATGTGTAAGTTTTTTGTCCATATATTTTCACTTTATTGGCACAGAACGTCATGTAACTGGTGTATCTATATTATGTGAGTTGTTCTCCCATCTAACTACATTGCCAAAACTTGGTGACTTGTAATTCCAAAATCAATTAAAACATACTTTGAGTTAGAATTAACTTTGAGAAGCTAAAATAGTAAATAAGAAAAATTTCTCCCTTTCAATACATAATAACATATTGATTAAGTCAAATTTTGTAACATCCCACATCGCCCAGGGGACTGATCCTTAAATGTATATTCCCATCCTTACCTAGCACGAGGTCTTTTAGGAGCTCACTGGCTTCGGGTTCCGTAGGAACTCCGAAGTTAAGCGAGAAGGAAGCTAGAGCAATCCCAGGATGGGTGACCCACTGGGAAGTTGCTCGTGAGTTCCCAAAAACAAAATCGTGAGGGAATGGTAAGCCCAAAGCGGACAATATTGTGCTACGGTGGTGGAGCAGGCCCGGGTAGTGATTCGCCCCGGGCGGGGATATGACAAATTTTCTGTCCATGTGTTCAAATTTTTATTTTCTTAAACATCTTTGTTTAGAAAGGAATAGGTAATCAGAGATATAAGTGGCAAATCAACTTATTCGATTGTTATTGAATATCTGTTAAGATCCGTTTAATTTGATATCACTACAATATAGATGTGAGATTGGTAGGTGATAATGATGTAAAGTAAAATCAAACTAAATTGATCTTAATAGGTATCAAATAAGTTGATTTGCCACCTCCAATCAAAGACATGAAAATGGTGAAATTGAGAAAAGACTATGTAGACATGAAAATGGTGAAATTGAGAAAAGACTATGTAACAAGATCTAGTTGCATATATAGATATTTGGAACGAGCATTAAGATTAATCCTCATTCAAAAAATTTCTACGCGTACTAACACATGAATATCAAAATGATTCTAATTCTTGTCGTCTAACATTTACTAGCAATACAAAATAAATGTGATCGCAAATTAGAATTCGGAATCCTATACCTAAAAATTAAGAATTCAATTGATTAGGCAAATAGTCTATCTCATTTACATTCATTTTACTTCCTATTCATGTACTTTCCTCGTTCAAGTATAACATGTTATTTGAGTGACGGTCCTCACAAGTGGATGAACCGTGGTAGGTAGGTATGGTAATTTCTGACACAACCTATTAACCCGAAACAAAACGACACAAAATTAACATGTTATCAAGTCGACACGATAACGAATCAGGTTGTTATCAGGTAACCTGATAAACACTTATTAAAATAACGGGTTGGTTTAGCCATACAGGTGGGTTACCTGATACACAATAAGCAAAATATTAATTTAATAATTTTATACCCCTAAAAATACTATAATAATTATATTATTTATTTTCTTAATTATTTTGGTAAACTTCTCATAATTAGAATGGTTTATAATGTTGTTTTTCTATACTTAGTTTATGTGGAAGAGAGTTATGATGTGGAAAACCTTACTAAAATCATCATCAACATAACTCTTGAAGGCAATATACCAAGTCAAAGTTCAAATACAATTTCCCATGATGATTGAGGAAAATTGAAGAATTTTGTTAAAGGAATAAAAAGCAAGTTTTGAATTTCATTGGCAATGTTTTAACTTCTGAGAAAGGCTTCACAACTTTGAAAGAAAAACTCATTCATTTTGCATATCCTTGCACATTTGATATTTTGTAGTAGAGTAGTAGTGTATTGGTGTTTTTTTTATTAGGCTCTTGTTTTGGAGTGTAGATGTACTTAATGACAAATGTGATTTTATGTTTTGAAGTAATATTTATGTGGCACTGTGGTATGTGCAAATTTAGGGAAAAAAAAATATTTTTCTTAACTTGTCAGGTCATTTTACCTGTTGGGTAAACTGACCTGATCTGTTAATGACCCATTAAGATAATAGGTGTTACAAAAAAATGACATGAAACACAACAAACGCAACTCATTTGCCAGGCCTAGTGGTAAGCACAACTATTGTCCCTACAAATGCCATTGTGTTAATTATACGCACAATTACAAATCTAAGAAGTGTTATGTCACCATTTAGTACTACGGTCTAGTGATATTCTTCTTTACTTGTAAGTGAGAGATCTTAGATTTGATTCTCATCAAAGGCGAATTTGAACCACATTATTGCTAGATCATTGTGAGATGGTCCAACCCCTCCCCCAAAGAGGTGTTATGTCACTTAGTATTACTCTCTATTGATATTTCTCTTTACTTTAAGTTCGAATCTCATAAATAATAAGTTTGTGACTAATTCATGTCCCACCTAATAATGTTAAAAAAAGAGGTGTGCTTTCATGAAGAGATTTTGCAGTGTAATTGAAATACGAACACATACGTCATACGTCATATGTTATTATACAAGTGGAAGGACACTTGAAAAAAAGAAAAAAAACATTTCACCCACCTTGTATAATAACAAGTGTCATACCGCCTCATATTCTCGACACATTGAAAAATATCTCTCTTTGATGATTGTATTGTACCCCACATCAGCCATTGAAACATAATGCCATCTCTAATCGAAGGGTCCAGAAAGCTAGAAGGCTGAAAATAGTCCGAAAACCATCTCCAACCGAGGGCTAGGCCAAAGGGCTTGTGGGCCCCACTAGACAAAAAAGGCCAAAGGGCCAACCGGCTGGCCCAACCCAGCCAACCAGTTAGCCGGGGCGGGGCCACATGATGATGTCATATTTGATTTTTTTTTTATAGTTTTTTTTTTACAAAAAAATTAAAAATTCTATTTTTTTTGCTATAACTTCCTAAGTCATTAAACAACATTAAATAACATTAAGTAACATGAAACAACATTAAACAATATTAAACAACATTAAATAACATTAAGTAACATTAACCAACATAAAAAAAAAAAAATTAACAACATGAAACTTACACAACATTTTTTAAAACATTTAACAACATGAAATATATTGAAAATCCATAACATAAAATTATTGAGATAATTTAATTTAAGTAACCTTAGTAATTCAATTAAAATAATAAATTATGTTTGGCGATCATTTGACCCTTAGTTGGAGATTGTTTTTTTTTCATAGGGCTATGTTTGGCCTATGGTCCTCTTGCCTCTCGGTTGGAAATGGTAAAAAATATATCACTGCACTATTTATTAAAATATTAATTTCTTGTAGGGTCAGAGAACTTTAGTTGGAGATGACCTAAGATTTACCAAATGAAGCACAACAGTGATCAAGAATCAAACCTCAAACCAGAAAATGAATGAGCTCGTAGCCAAACAGCCCGAAATGCTGACACTCTAAAACAACATCCTCTCCAGGGAGACCGCCCCAATTGTCAAAATTGCAGTCACAAAGGCAGTGCGAGTTTCAGTGAGAGCAGTGAGCTGCAACAATCGAAAAAACACGAGAGCGGTGAGGTTCCTAGAAGCAGCAGAAAAGGAGTAAAAAGACAGAAATTTGAATCAGACATGACCTTCAGAGCGTCATCCATGGCAGGTCGATCCTTTAAGCTCCTCTCACATTTGCCTTACATGCACGCCCCAGCTCCCCTCTCTCGCCAGGTAACCCACCACCTGTTTGTCATTTGTCCCCCCCCACTCTCTCGCTCTGTATTTATATTGCCCAGCAGCTGCAACACCCTCACATTCTGAACTGTGAGCAAGCAGCACCGTAAGTGACTCTTTCTCTCTCTCTCTATGCTTGTATAGTATGATCAAGCATGTGTATACGTTAGGTTTGATTAGATTTGAGTTGGCTTTTGTTGGATATTGAATATCAATTTGATTGAGGATGATCAGGTTGGCAATTGCCTCAATGTTCTATGAGAAATATTCTTTAGGTAAATTTCTGGGTTTTTTTGTTTTAATTTAAAGTTTCTGGCTTTTTTCTGTATCCCCATTTGATTGCTATGTTTTATGGTCGAAATTGGTCTGTGTGACAATGGGTTAGATTGAAAAATGGATGTTGCTAAGGATTTGGGCTGTTGAAGGAGCTTTCCAATTTATATTGGAACCACAAAATGCTGATATACTATGCTTATGCCCCTTGCATTTTCAATCTTTTTCTTGTTTTTAGTATTGTTCTTCTTTATATTCAAGAAATTGTAGCATGATCAGATTTCACTTTATACAATTTATTTTTAGAATTGTCTACCTTGAAGTTGGTTTTTTTTTTTTTTTTTTTTTTTTGTGCGTATATAATTATATCAAAGTTTGAATGTGGGATTTTGTTATCAGATTAGCATGGACGCGAAAAGCTTCGTTTCTCAGCTTAATGGTGCTGGTCTATTACGTAGCCAGGGCCTTATTGGGGGGAGATGGTCTGATGCATACGATGGGAACACTATAAAGGTATGTACAAAAAATCTCTTTGTTTGCCCTGGTGCCTATGCCTTTGGATGATCTTTACATTAACTTGATAAATGTTACCTGGTTCTGAATGTTTCAAATATTGCATCTATATCCTATTATGCAGGTTCACAACCCAGCAACCGGCGAAGTTATAACAACTGTTCCATGCATGGGTCAAAAGGAGACAAATGATGCAATATCTTCAGCCTATGGTGCATTTAGTTGTATGGGAACTGATCCATAAGTGAATTTGTGATTGCATTAGACTCTTGAAGAAATCTGTCTTCGGCATTTAGCATACTTTCTATAACTGAGCTAATGATGCTTATGTGTTCACCATAAATATAGAAGGCGTCATATTTAACATAGCTTGAGGTTGTAAAAAATTTCTTTTACTGATTTAAATATCTAAACTTTCTGAGTGTAGCTTGGAGCAACCTCACTGCTTCTGAAAGGAGCAAATATCTAAGGAAATGGTATATTTGCTGTTCTGTGATTCTATATCTGTTTGTTGTAGAACTTTCATTTGATCCTGAATCTTGTATTTCATATTCCTCCGCAACCTTCAAGGTATGATCTGATAATATCCCACAAAGAAGAGCTTGGACAACTCATTACCTTGGAGCAAGGGAAACCTCTAAAAGAAGCAATTGGTGAGGTATCTTATTTCCGATTTTTGTTTAAGGAATTTAAGCAAGCTCTGCATTGTACTTTCGTTCATCATCATCAACATGTAATACAAATTGGATATTACAGGTGAACTACGGGGCTGCGTTTATTGAGTTCTATGCTGAGGAGGCAAAACGTGTATATGGTGATATAATTCCTGCTACTCTTGCTGATCGACGGTTGTTTGTTCTGAAGCAGGTGATTTATTATGAATCATTATGTTCTGATGTCCTATATAATTACTCCAAATGAGAACTAGCTCTTCACTGTGTTCTGATGTCCTATAGAATTACTCAAAATGAATATCTCAGTGGTTTGCTGAAAAATTAAATAGAAAAAGAAAGACACAAGAGGTACATTTCTGTTTATGTTAAACTTGCTGTTCAAACATACAAGTACATCAGCAAAAACTCTTCAAACCCATAGCATAAAATAGACCAACAGAGGCTGTTTGGCCTTCTTTTTGGGTGGAAGGCAGGGGGCTGGATTTACGTTTGTTTTTATTTGTTGACCTCTTATTAAATTTTAATTTGCAGCCTGTAGGTGTTGTTGGTGCAGTTACTCCCTGGAACTTCCCACTGGCTATGATTACCCGCAAGGTATTTTGAGTATTTTTGAATTGTGCAGACTTCAAGCATTCCAATATTTTTTAGTGCATGACTAGCATTAAAAACATCTCATATTCTACTGCTCACTTGTTTAAGGTTGGTCCTGCTCTTGCATGTGGCTGCACAGTAGTCATAAAACCATCTGAATATACTCCCCTCACAGCTTTAGCAGCAGCTGAGCTCGCCCTTCAAGCTGGAATACCACCGGTATGTTTCTTACATGCACACACATCCACACACATTTACACTTAGTATTAAGGATAGTGTACGATGTTTTCTTTTGGCCTTGGAGTTGCAGGTAATGTTCCTTACCCAGAATCTGTTTTAATACTCATTCTGGTTAATATTTCTTACCCTCAAGCTTGACTTGTAATATAGATTGTCATGTGTATTGTTGTTAAGTGCTGGAACTGTGTCTTAATTTCTTGGTTAGTGCTTAGTGTTTATGTTTTGATAATTATAGTTTTATGAATGTTTGATTTGATTTTGGTAAAGACTATTTGATTTTGGTAAAGACTATTCCTTTCATGACCACAAAATGTGTTTCCATCTTCACTCTTCCAAAGAAAAGAATAGTTGAGACCAAATATCTGTTTGCAGATTCAGTTGAACCATTGATTGGCTTTTAGGATTCTACATCTCACTCTCAGTGTTGAATATTGAAATTTTTTAGAAAGAAAAGTCTTGATGCATGATACCATGTTCATTGAAACATGTGTTGTAGCTCCTTGTTGACTTTACATCTTGTATAAAGAACATTTGGTTTCCCAAACTTTGATATGGTCATCAGTCATCCCAGTTGAATTTTAATGCCTCTTGTGTTTCTAATGGTGTTTACCCTTGGTGATGTAGGGTGTGGTGAACGTGGTTATGGGGAATGCTTCTGAAATTGGGGATGCTTTACTTGCAAGTCCACAGGTATATAGTTCATACATAAGCCGGTCCTTTCATTTGTAATACAATAATGCAATTTTCCTGTGGAGGTATATGGCTATAGAAATATAAAACACTAACCATTCTTGCATTATACAACTTATTCAGGTAAGAAAGATCGCTTTCACAGGCTCAACAGCAGTTGGAAAGAAGTTGATGGCTGGTGCAGCTGGGACTGTTAAAAAGGTAAAGATATAGTCTATTGGATATAGAGTTTTGGAAAGAAGTTGATGGTCCGTGCAGTTGAGGAATCATCATGTGGTTAATTGTTTTTGTTTCTTGATTATTTTAGGTATCTCTTGAACTTGGTGGCAATGCACCTTGCATAGTCTTTGATGATGCCGACCTGGATGTAGCAGTAAAAGGAACTGTGAGTAAAACTGTCTAAATGCATTGTAACTGTGTTGTTTTCATATTATATATGTGCTGATTTATTGACTGTTGCACCTATTTTAATTGTGTCTCCGTTCAATAACTTGATACGGAAATAATATATGCATCCAATATGATAGTTTGGTTTCTATTTGGTTATTGATTCCGAAGAATTAGAGCATCAATCGTGCACAGTAATGTTTTCTTGAATATAAAGTGTCTGGAAAATGTTGTAGTTTCAAGTTTTTTTAGCTCTGTAGCAGGAAATGTGTTCTCATTTCAGGTTCCCGAAGTTAGCTACAAAAATATTCTAATCATGCAAATTTTTTTTTTTTTTTTTTTTTTGCAGCTTGCAGCAAAGTTCCGTAATAGTGGACAGACATGTGTTTGTGCAAACAGGATTATCGTACAGGAAGGTAAGGATGGGAACACATTTGACTAATAAGTTACAAACTTTATGCATTTTGAAATCATGTTGCTATTCAGTTTGTATTACTTTCTAGTCGAGTGAATGCTCCCTCATGTATATATTCTGAGACTAATTGGAAATTCAGGTGTCCATTAAGCACCAGCTGCTTTCAAATGGCCTGTATAAGATTTGTGATAGTGAGGCCTGCTAATTCTTGAAAGTCGTCGTTACAATACATGCTCCCTACTCCCTAGTCATTTCAACACCATTTTATTTTGGAGTTTTAAACTCTTGTATCCTTATTATTTTCAAGTATTGCAGTATTATGCCCCGTGCGCGGGCTCGGGGGGGGGGGGGGTGGTGGGGCGCGGGGGGCGGTGTTGGGCTTCTTTTGGATAGTTCTTTCTTTCTTCTAAAAAACAAGATTTTGTATGCACACTAGAGTGGGTGGTTTTGAAGTTACATCTGTTGATTCTTATTTTAATACTTAAAGCTCTCGTTCCTGTCTGAACAAATCCAGATTTTGCCTGAAGTTTATGTTCTGATTTTGGTTCTTCCTTACTGAGCTTTTCGTGCAATTTAGGACTCGACTCAAAATGTATAGTGCTCGTTTGTAACTAAGTGTTTATCTGTTCAGGTATCTATGAGAAATTTATGGATGCTTTTGTGAAAGCTGTCCAGAATCTGCAAGTTGGGGATGGCTTCAGTGAAGGTGTGGTCCAGGTAGTCACTCATGCATCTATCGTGATCGCCTTTTTGGTTTCCAGGGCTTATGCTTGGAATCACCACTATGTAACCATGGTTTAACCTATTGTTTTTGTTTCTTTGCAGGGCCCTTTAATAAATGAAGCAGCAGTACAAAAGGTTTGCTTTTCTTTTTCAAATTAGTATTCCATTAGTAATGATGTATGACATCTTCCCTTCAATCTTATGCATTTCTGAATATCACTTTGGAAATTCACATTACAGGTCGAATCATTTGTTCAAGATGCTTTATCAAAGGTTAGTTTTCTACATTTTAGCGCCTTAAGAATATTAAACCTTGGAGAACAAATGTAAATGTGACTTTGTTGCGGCATTCAAGTTGGTTGGAACTAAAATCAGTTGGATGAAACGTGGACTGCCATTTATCTTCCTCTTTACTGTTTTGTTGATATCCCACTTTTTTTTTTGCGTTGTCTCACTTATTCTACTACTTAAGGACATAAAACAAATGAAACTTTTCATTGAAACAGTAATGACTCAAATTCTTTGACGATTAATCTTTTGAAGGGAGCACAAGTTGTTCTTGGAGCCAAGAGGCATAGCCTTGGAATGACTTTTTATGAGCCTACAGTTCTCAGAGATGTCAAGAGTGATATGCTAATATCAAGGTAAATACTTGGAAAAATGGTATATGATATATTAACACTATTTGAATTCCATTATCAAATTATTAGGATTTTTTTATTTAAACTAGTGAAGCTTAACAATGGTTACTCTGGTAAGATGATAGCAAGGTTGCTTTGGGATCTGAAAATTTTTATGTAGTTGTGCTCAGCAACTATTGGCTTCTGTTATTTAGTCGATTATATGCGCTCAGAACATTTTATCTTGGTTCAGAGAGGAAGTATTTGGGCCTGTGGCACCCCTTCTGCGTTTCAAAACTGAGGAGGAGGCTATCCGCATTGCTAATGACACCAACGCAGGTTCTTTTTTCGAGCATCCTTTTCATACTTTGATACCTCATCCTTCATTAGTCCCTAGAGAACCTGGTGAACTTTTTCATTCAAAATTCTATCCTCCTGCTCATGTACACATTCTCTCGCATACATTTACAGGGTTAGCTGCTTACATATTTACAAATAGCATTCAACGTTCGTGGCGTGTCTCTGAAGCACTTGAATATGGACTACTTGGTGTCAATGAAGGCCTAATTTCGACAGAGGTGGGTCCCAAACCTACATCCACCAGCATTTTCTTTTCTAATTATTGCTTTATTTATGAGATTATCTGTATCAACGAAGGTGGCTCCCTTTGGAGGTGTCAAACAATCTGGTCTTGGACGAGAAGGTTCCAAGTATGGGATGGATGAATATTTGGAAGTAAGTTTACTGAATATACCCCTTTGATTATAGTTAACAAAACATATCAAAATGTCCCGATGCCTCAGTAGGTTCAAATGTTGCAAAATGTCCGTTCGCACCTATCTTATAGACAAGATAATTAGGCACTACTTACAAAACTCCCCTACGAACGATAATCTATGTAATATTAAGGCAATTCTCAATGCTGCATCGCAGGTTAAATATGTGTGCATGGGGAATATGAGCAGTAACTGATGTGCTTGGTTTCTAGCTGGATCGTTGCCAAGCTTAAAACCCAAGTTGGAACTTGATGTAACCTTTGTTACTTCGAAAATGTGTTGTACTGGATAATAAGTGTTCAATTTGATGTAATTTCGCTTAGAACACGAAATAGAAGTCTTCGTTGTAGTAGAGAAGTAAGTTTTAATTTCCAATGTAATTTTGTTAGAACATGAATAAACTTTCAGTTTTGATGTTTCAAGTTTTCAATTATGTTTGTTCTTTTTTTCTTTTCTTTTTTTTCACCTGAATTTTTGGTACCAATTGAAATTCTAGCAAAGTTTCTAGGTATCTAAACCGACCATCGTTTTATGAGGTTCGAGTTTGGGTCTTCTTTTGACAAAGTAAACTAGTAGATGAGATTGAGGTTCCACTTCAAAAGCAGTTAGTGAGGGGACTAACCAAACTCCTTATAAAGTCTTGTAAAGTATATTAGCTTTTTGACATACATCGTACATTTTTTCACATTCTCGTACACCTCCTTACGTAGTGGAATTTCAAACTTAACACGTGCAAAACGCATTTTGAGTGAAGTAAAGCACACGTGTGGAACATTTCTTCACATCGAGTAGAGACTTAGTGAAAGTCCCAAATGATCATTGGCCAAATTACAAAATCAGAATAGGCAAGTTCCAAGTAGTGGCAAAGTTCCAAAATTGGAGCCCCCAAATTTTACCACATTATCTACTAGCCAGGCTTGGGCTGTGAAGAAAGTCTCATATTACATTGAGTTAAACTTTACCACATTATCTGCTTGCTTTTTTTTCCTTTTCCTCCATTTTCTCCTAACTTACTAATGAAGTATAATAGTAGGTCAGCAGCTTGTCTCTGTGTTTTGGATTGATAAGTATATAATTATTTAGGGGTCATTTGACAATTATTTTATTTTCAGTTCTAAAGGGTGTAATGTATTTATATTTATATGAACTTTTGTTGAGTTTTTAAAGTGAAAGACAGAATTTAGTAGACTTTTACCATTATAAATACCATAAAATTCCATATTCTAATGATATACTTTTTAGAAAAAGCAAGAGTAAAATGATAGCCTTTTGTATAATTCTAGATATTTCAATGCGCATAATTTTTTTACATCATGTGGATTCTCATGGATTTTTTATGCCCAATTTATTTGCAAGCATTATTATTTTTAACTTTTCATTATTGAAATTATCTGATCGTGACCATCACAAAGTGATCCTAGGAGGTGGTGGCGGCGGCAATGAAGGTGGTGAAAATGTCACATGGTGATTGTTGGCAAGGTGCTGCGAAAGGAGGCGTGGTGATTGTTGTGTTGGGGCGATAGAGGAGTAGGGATGAGGCTGGTGGTGATGAGGTGGTTATGATGATAGAGGTAGCGGTCATGATGATGGTGGTGTCAGTGATGATTCATAGTAATGGTGGAGATGATGCTCATGGCAATGACGGTGCGGCAGCAACGGTGACAATGATAGCGGTGGGGATGAAGGAGATGGTCATGGTAAGATGGTGGTGGTGACATGATAATGATATGGCATTAGGATAGGGGGTGGAGTACATCATCAAAGAATTGAGAAAATTGAAATTCATCAAAATCTTTTGTTTTTTTTGTTGTTTGGTGTGTTTTTGGGGTGGGGGGGGGGGGGGGAGGTTGGATTTGCTATGACAAAAAACTTACTATAAAAGCACTCAAAGTCCATGGCATTTTAAGATCTTATATAATAAATGAAATTTTGAATACGGTTTTTTGTAGACTCATAAAAAACCATAATTGAATACCACAATATTTTCATTGACGTTTTATAAGTTATAAGAAGTCTTTATTTAATACGTGATGACTTTTGTTGACTCCTTAAAGGTCTATATATATTTTTTTTTTGCCACTCAGTACTACGATCTAGTGGTATTCCTCTTCACTTGGAAGTGAGATGTTTTAGGTTCGAATCTCGTGGATGGCGAATTCAATACTAAATTAGGTTGCCCATTGTATGACTTAGCCAAATTCCTCCCTCCCCCTAGTGTAAAAATATCGATGTACTAAAAAAAAAAAGTTTATATTGAATACAGTTAGACTTGAAAGCAAAGCCCATCAAACTCTATATACAATTCACCTTCTAAAAAAGTAATCACTAAACAAGTAAGGACAGAGCTAAAAACTTATATACAGATGGGCTAATTTATTTTCTTTAGTATGAAGTGAGATTTATATGTTGGGAGTAGGCTAATTTTCTGTTTAATTTATGAATATATATTACGCTTAAGTTTTCCAAAACATGCTTATTTTAACACCAAAAATTTTCATCTTTAAAATTTAAGGTGTGCTAGAACCTAGAGCATCCACTAGCTGGTTCGTTGTTGTAAACGAGTTTTCAGTTTTCTAAATAAATAAAAAATGACAACAAAAATTGAAAATTAAAATCAAAATAGTTATGAGAGGGCCCTTATGAAAAAGATGTGAAAGTGACGTGACAATGGAATGTCATATATTCCCTATATATGTTATGTATGCTTTCAAGATCAAACCTGTTTTCTCATATCATGATCATCTCAACCATTATCTCTCTGCTAGCAAAAAAATAAGAAAAAAGAAATACAGAAAGAAAAACATCATCATCAGTTCGTCATTTCATCATTCACTTACTCATTGATCGAGTTGCTACCAATGTTTTCAGAGACAAAAGCGTAAGTTGAGGGTTTTTGTCTCACAAAGCGAGGAGCAAGTCTTGAGATGTTGTGGTGTTAAGCTTTAAGTCTTTTATGTCTTATCTCATTATTAAAAAAAAAATATGTACAATAAAATATAATATAGGCAAAAATATCATAACAATAGTCACTGGAGCATAATAATCATTCACAAATATGGGATTGCCGCTATCACTGCAATAGTGGTGGTTTTCTGTTGAAATTGGTGAGAAATGACGGGACCAATCCATGAAATTCAATACAAGAATGGGGTGGGCTGCCGGAGTTGGCGAAAAATTAAGCTTGTGCCGGTGCGCGAATAAGAAAAAAGTTTGATAAAGAATAAGCTTATCTTATATAAATAGCTCCAAATTCCTTATAAGTGTACATAAATAAAATAAAACTACTCTCTCTTTCACTAATACAATTTCATCTCCTCTATTCCCTGTCTTGCCAAATAATTTATTTGAAAAATAAAAGGGTGAGGGATGAGCAACAATCACCGTCGCCCAATGATAGAATATATAATATGTCAGTTAAGCGACACTGTTTTACATACAAAAGAAAATTTGATATATTTGTCAAATCATTATACACATTGTTATGCCACATTGTCTATTCATATGTTGGTTATCCTATATAAATTATAGCTCACCACATGATTCCTAATTTATAGCCAATATATCTTAATTTTCTCGTGTCATGTTCATTTATCCCTCAAATAAAACTTAAAATTCTCATGCTCCATGAACATTTCCAAGTAATTCCACATATCTATAGATATGTATCTATCCGTCAAAACCTTAAGTAACACGAAATCAAACATGCTACAACGAAACCATGCATGGTTGATGCATGCAGATGCATCATGTATGCATGCATTCTGTGTCCAGCAATCCAATCCTCCTTGGAAACTCGATAGAAAAGCGGGAAGCTTTGTAAAGTATTCAAATTGTACAATAAAGTAGGGTCCCACAAATTCACCTTCTAAGGAATATATTCATTTTATCGAATAATTCTCTATAGATCACATAAAAAGGAAAGGATGCTTGAAATTCAAGCAAACATACCCATAACACTAAGCCGGCCAACTTTTCCACTGGTTTTTAGCTTTGAATTAAAACCATTATTATTATCAACTAAAAGTTAAATCATTGCTTTGCTTGAATTATATTATAATTAGTGGTTTAATTTAAAGAAGAATAATCTCCAATTCTAAATTGAAATGCTTTGTTTCTCTCACACATTTTTGGATAGAGGAGGGTGCCAAAATTATAAAGCAATTTCGTTTACATGCAAAGGGTGGTGGGGGAGGGTCAAATCTAAGGAACTCAAAAATCAATCTATGCTGCAATGTTTGATTTCCTACCTGACATGCAAGCGTAGGTTTGATTTGAACAATCACGTAGGACCTGGTCAACATCTTTTACTAATATGGGGCCAAATCATATATGTAAACAAAGATGGGACGGTCATAAAATGTTCTATATCTTAAAATATTGAGCTTTGTGTAACTCATGAAGTTCTAGATTTTTAGGAGAAGAATCTTCCTTTGATTGTTAAAGAAGAAAGCATTTATTCTCAATTGAGATTTAGGCAAATACTATAGAGTCACCGGTACAATTCGGGTTATAGACGAAAATGTACATAAGAAAGTTTGTTAAAAGCCGTAGTTGTGTTTTAGTATTTTGAATTTTTTAGACTCTAATTGATGTGATAGTGTTTTATTTGTTAAGTGCATCTTATAACCTACTCGCAATAAATAAAAAATTGCCATTTGAATTGATAACTATAAGTTGAAAAAGATAGCTCGTGACTGAATACTATTATTAAATATGCTAGTAAGTGCTTCAGTTCAAATAATTTAAAGCGTTTGCCCTTATACTTAAAAACTCTAGTTTGATCCCCCATTTTTTGGGTGAAGTACTAATAGTAATTAGCAAATATATATAATGACTTGAGTAGATATTTGACATTTTGTATGAGAGAGAGAGAGAGAGAGAGAGAGAGAGAGAGAGAGAGAGAGAGAGAGAGGGAGTTTTATTCTGTTCTCCATTTTGCGTTTTTTCTTCACGTTGTTCATATATACGCATCCTAATTTGCATCCTTTAGTATATAGAGAGAGTACGGGGGCATTGTGGTAGCTTGTTAGCTTTGACCTAAATATTTTGTTTTGTTTGTTATTGTGGATTGGAGTAGGAATATATTCTTACTTGAGTTGTTTTGTTTGTTGTTGTTTGGATTGGAGTAGAAATATATTGCATGGCAGCTGAGCAGTCTTTAGTTCCAGGAAAGTGAGATAAGGGGTTGCGGCCCCGCAAATTAAGCTTTAGAAGAAGTAAGGCCAAGGTCCCCGACTCCTCATGTCATCAAAAGCTCCACATTACACCACCCTTTATGCATTGATGCTCACGTCCTCATATATTACCAACCACAAACCCTAAAGTTTGGTTCCTTATTTTCTTGTTTTTTAGTGCTTTCTCTCCTCCATATATAAAATCGACCGCATTCAGATTCATTGATCTTTAATCTTATAAATATATACAACATAT